AAGATGCTTTCCCACTGTGTCCAATTATATCCATTATGCCAGGTTCTGCCTTTAGTTGCATAACACAATCTTAAAAAAGCCACTTGCCACTGAACTTAGACTTTAATGGTGGGTGTTCAAAAGGACACCATGCATAAACGACTCCACTTCTTTGAGGAGTTCAAATGCCACACTATTTTCTTAATGAGTAACAGAATCGGTACTTCCATTTTTAGGGTGGAGCTGCAAAATATGGCCTGATATTCCAAGATTAGTCATGCATATACATGTTAGACATGGCCCAGAATCAGCAATTCTCTGATGATGTTGGCAGGGGAAAGCTGACCTTGAATTAGTAAAAACCATATTAACTACAGTCATGATATGATATTGAACTTATTAATAGACTTCAAATATAGGACTAGATCCAGCTTAAGTCCTAGTTTTTGTTCTAAGCTTTCACCTCACATGACTTTAGGAACATTACTTAGCATTCTCTGCCTTAGTTTCCTGACCAACAATGAGTACATTTTCTACCAACCAGTAAAATCTGAGGAGGAAAGATGAATTAAAACTTGTTTGAACATTTATAAGAAAGGTATCAATATGACTGCTCTCTGCAAAGTATTTTGATCAGGTGTGAATTAATTACAGTGGCTTAGGAATAGTGCCCTTTGATTCCATTGCTGGCCTTAATTAAGTGTAACTCATTTATTCACAAATGAAGTGGGAACCTTAAAAAAGACAAATTAGCCCTACATGTGTTATTTTCTGTGTGAAGTTAAAGTATTTCTGAAGTTGACATTTTTACTAATTTTGGGGTCTCGAGTTTTCTCCACAAAATTCCTTTTGGTCTAGTTTCCTTTATCCCTTCTCCTGGGGAAGCAGTTATGAAAATAGCTGTTGGCTAAGGTGGGTGAGGGGACTAAAGCTGGCTGAATGTAGAATCAAGTTGGAAGAAATTAAGATGACTTCACAAAGGTACACAGAAAGACAATGGTTCCTCAAGAATAACTGACTGTAAATGGGATAATAGTTATCTACTGAATATAACCATATGCTTAGAAGCATTTATCACTATTCTATCATTCTTTCATATTCTTTTCTACATTTACTGTGGCCAGAAGAGAGGTTCTTCAGTGGAAGTACATGTTCAATAAATAATTAGAGCAATGCATGTGCACGTCACACTTGACAGTGTCATTTCCTTATATAGATTCTCATTTCCACGGCTATACAAGTCAACCTATCGACTTATAGTAGGATAAACTTTGGCAAGTGGGTTGCCTTGGACCCACAACAAAAAATGCAACACTATCCATGTTATTAAAGTGGTTCCATCTGACACTGCGAGACTGAAATCCCAGGGGCACCATCTCTTACTCTTAGTGGGCTCATACCCAGTGGTTGCTGAAGAGTGGTTGCTTTGGAAAGTTAAAACTCATGCTGTAGTCAGAAGCTTTCTCCTTTCAACAAGCTGCCTTAAGGTATTCCAAGGGTTGGTATAACCCGTTCCCTCCCCACAACTGCAGAAGTGTCTTTCCTATGCCGTAGCGAGAAGAGATGGTGTGAACTGAGACCTCAGACACCCTAGAGTTTGCTACTCCACAACATAGTGATAAGGTCAGGACTTTTATTATGGTCATGACCCATACTGAATTGTATTCCAATAATATAAACCTAGAGACTATTGTAGAAAACAAACTCTGTGGCCTCAGATGGACTATTATAAAGCAACGTGAAATCTACAAACATGGTTGAGGATCTGAATTTCCAGAGAGAATTAGCATGCAAATATAGGTGATATTTAAAGCGGCTACATACACATGATTGACAGAAATGGCCAAGAAGGCAGTAGGTCATGTCATGGCTTCCTAATTAACTCACACATATAACAGTCCTTTGGTGTGATCAGTGAAACAAGCACAGAGGGGCCATAAGGCAGCATTCGCTTTTTGTTTTCAAAGTATTTAAGTATATAATCTAATAAAAGCTACCATGGTTGATTCAATTGGATGCAAGGTGTTTTTAATTTACACAGCATTGATTTTAAGGACACCCTCTCAGATATAATTGAACAAAAATAACCTACCTTAAACCTTTTGAATTATACTGTCCAGAAACTGTAGGAGATAAATAAAAGGAGCTGCAAAGTTCACATGACTGTCACTGGGCAGCTGTCTCAGGTACACAAATGAAGGCCCGCACTCTGCGTAGGAGCCACAATGAGGGAAAATAACTTCCTGGGTAATTTTATGAAAGGAGAGCGTACTGCAGTAGTAAAGGGTTAGAAGAAATGGAGTGTCTTCAAATGCAAATTTCTTGACATTTCACGGCTACTAAAATAATTACCCTATCTTGGTGAACTAATAATAACTTAGTTAAAGGTTTCATTTAGTATAACCAAATGTAATGCAAAAGGCACATACTATAATAAACACCATTTCCACTTTCGGGCTTGCTGAGGGTGGGTTTTCTCTCTTTTCTTTACCCCACAAACCAGAATGTCACAAGCCAGCAGATGTGATTCTTTACGGGAAACGGACAGGTCAGAGGACCCAGCAGTGCTGTGCAGCTCTGGTGCAAGCGGTGTCCCCATGCTGAGCACCGAAGAGAGGAGCTTGGGTGTCTCCACAAAGTAATTGTTCTTTTAGACTACTGAAGTACATTTTGTTGCACTACACAAGTTTATTTAATGAACATTTAAAAATCAAAACCATTTCACTTTTATGTATCAATGGGAAAACTACATTGAGTAGAAAGCTTAAAGGAAACCTTTTGAAATGATGGTCTTTGAATCTCTTAGTATTCTGCATTGGGTACTTGGTAAGCCCTCTGGAAAGCAAATGGGGGAAAATATCACCTCAGGGCACAGGAAACCTTTTGAGAAGTAATTTGGGAATATGAATCAAATACCATAAAACTTTATATTGCTTAGACCCAGTAATTTTACCTTAGTGAATTTAGGCTAAGAATCTTTAATACTGAGAGAGGCTTATGCACCAAGATGTTTATTACAATATTATTCATAATAACAAATTAATTAGAAACATTTCTCTTTTGTTGAGTATTAACTGAAAGGAAAATTATACTACTTAAAAAATAATGCATGCCAAAGTTAGACAGCAATGTAGAACATTCTTCTGATGTACTAGAAGTACAAAAAGCCTAATATAAAAGTATGTGTGCAATAGAATTGCAATCGTGCAACAGTTAGTAAGCATACACTAAAAAGACTGAGGATACATATGATGGTGCTAGGTAGCATATAAAGTATTTGGATAGAAGTTTGGATGGAAGGTGCTAGTTAGCATATGCTGTGTTCGAATGTGGGTAATTTTCAGATCTCTTTGATTTTTCAAATAATGTATAATTTTAAAAAACAACTTGCCCTGGTTGGTGTGGCTCAGTGGATTAAAGGGCCTGTGAACCAAAGGGTCACTGGTTCAATTCCAAGTCAGGGCACATGCCTGGGTTGTGGGTCAGGTCCCCAGTGGGGGGGCACTGGAGAGGCAACCACACAGTGACATTTCTCTCCCTCTCTTTCTCCCTCCCTTACTGTCTCTCTAAAAATAAATATATAAAATCTTTAAAAAAACCCCCTAAATTCTTCAATTTAAATATCCAATTGTTGTGCTTAACAGCTAGTTGTATTAAACTGAACTCTTCTCTTTCCTAAAACCACTTCCTATGTAAATACACTCATGATGGTTAATTAGTTACAAATGGAAAACCAGTCTGGCTGAAGTAAATACACTCTAATTACTGTAGACCTCACTAATTAAAGATTAACAGAAATTCACAGATTTGAGATTCTTACAGCATGAAAATCCCCAAACAAATAATATGTTAGAATTTTAAATTTTGTGATATTAATAATTTATTTCATAGAAATAGGTACATAACAAATGGTAGTTTTTTGGTGAGATTATTTTAATTAACTTTCTATATATGATTATGCAATTTGAAATTGTAAATGCTAATTTATAATATATGAAGGTATACTATGTAAAAATTAAAAAATAATTAAATAAACAAAAAACAAGGCTTATTTGCCTGGTAAAGTTTGTGAAACACATGAATTGATTTGCATAGCATATTAAGTTCAGAATACAATGAAATACCACTATTTGTAATTAATTTTTTTTATAAATTAAACATTTATGTGTAATTGACAATTAAAATGGAAGATGACTAAACTTTTGTTTCCTCCACTATCATTTATGTAGCAAAGTATAAAGTATTACTATATAATATTTTCCAGAAATTTTTTCCTCCAAATGCAATCGCTAAGAATTACATATAAAGTAACTAACAGAATCAGTTATCTTGTGACTTTTAAATGCAACCGACAATTTGTTGCACTTTTCGATGGACATTTTCAAGCTAGTGCTTTAATTAGGATGTTAATTGTCCAAAGCTATGTCATCTTTAAAGAAGAACTGAACATGATTGATTTCAAATGTCTTAAAAACATCATGTTTTAATAACCAGGCTGGTTCTTAAAAAAAAAAGTGAAACTTCAAAAACCACCAAGTTCTGATTGATTGTAATCATAAACTCTAAAGATAAAGCATACTCTCTGTTTTCTAAGGAAGAGCAACTTATGATTTAACTATGAGAAGGTAAGAAATAAATTTTTGTCTGATTGTAAATGACAAAAATATTAATTTTATTTTTGGATTTTTATTTGTCAAATTTTAGGAATAAATATAATTGCTGTCATGGACCTACTAATTTTATTGATATTAATGATATAAATTTTTATTCAATGTCTAATACAAGTAAATAGGATGCATTCATCTCTCCTATTTTGTTGCATAAATTGCACTCAGGATTATGTAGTAAATATTTAATAAAGTAAAAACAATTTTTGACAGTCACTCAATCAATATTTATTTAGGGCCCATCATATACTAGCCTTCTGAGATACGGTGGTAACTTTGTTGATTTTGAATGTTTACTTCTGTAAATAAATTTTACATATAAGCGATTTAAAAAGAAATACTTAAACAACTTACCTTTGGTTCCTTGAACTTGGAGAAACATCCAAAAAACAAAAACAGCCCTCCTACTTTCCAAATACATTCTGACTTTTGTGCATTGGTAAACCTGGTAACAATCACAGAACAGCCCCAAATCACATTAAAAAAAAAAGACAGAAGTATGGAAAATAATTAAATATTGATGCAAGCTGAGTGAGGATAACCTTCTTGATTTACTTTAGGAGGGTGCCAATTTATGAAGAACAGGAGGCAGTGTCTGTTTCTGGAATAATCTGCTTATCTTCCTCTCAGGTGTAATCTCTGCTTAAGGGCCAGCTGGAGGGACCTTTATCTCATTAACCTTCTGGAGGAGCATCTGTCAGCCTAGCTCCAGGACCCTGGACTCCATTATAAACAAGTGTCCACGGACAGAAGGAAATGCTTCTTTTCTTAGTTACTCACCTGTTACAGTGACACAGAGAACCAGGGGAGGTGCTGCCAAGGGCAGGAGAGGGCTGACAGCTGGGGTCAAATATTTGCCAAAATGACACTTGCAAGGAACATCCACTGAGAGAGTCTGACTGCCATCCCTGGAAGTGTGGCTGTTCGGTGTGTGTTAGTCTCCAGAGACAGCAAGGCTCAGGGACATGTGCTGCTTTGTAAATTGCTTTCTTTCTGCCATCACATATAGATGGCTTCTTCATTTTTTTTTAAAGTCTGGTGTTAATTTTTTAACTTTGTGCACAGCGTAGAGTCCAATAGTTCTACAAAGCTTGTGAAAAATGATACTGTCATACCTCCATTCAAAAGCAATCATTTCTAATTCTTTAATTCTTCAAGTATTCTTATATGTACTTGGAAATAGTATGCTTCTGTTACTATTTTTTCATTTTCACTTTTAGAACTATCAAATAATGAATATTGAGAATATCTTCTCTTCCATACATACCCTCCCCACTCTGTATAAACAGGTACTTGCCCCATCCCTTCATCTGCCTCAGTGTCTCTGTATTTTCAGTTTATTGTGCGTCCAGCTTAACATTATTGTGACTGTATTCATGCTACACATAGCTGAGCCATGGACTATACTGTAATTATTAACATGTATTGAGCTTTTATGTTGTGATAGATGCTGTTCTTAGATATTTTCATAAATGATATATACTAGTTAATACATTATGAGATAAACACTATTATTACTATCTTTGTTTTAGTTTTATATTTGAAGAAACTAAGGTATATGTGGCAGAGCCAGGACTTGAACCCAAAGGAACTGGCTCAGGAGCCTATACTTAATATTAACCTTTATCTCCTCTGATGTCATTTGCTGTTATCTCATTTGTTTCGCCCTCATTTTATACATGCAAAACAATAAATTATCTTCAGATGTTACCCCAGATGTGTAAATTTCCTCTTCAAATGGTTAAACACTGCAGGTAATGTCTTTGCAGGACTTTCTAACCTGCTGCAGGCTGTCTTATTTAATTTCTGGTTATAGTTCACGGCCAGCATCTGAAGATCTCCCTTCACAACCATCCTGGGGGTTCCCTTCACCTTTCTTGTGTTGGACGCCATGCTCTCCAGACCCCACGTTGCCTCCTTTCTTAACCCAACCGCATGTTTTAGCAGAGCACATGCCTCAGTGGATTACTGAAAGTTCTCAGTAAATAGATTTGAAATCTTTTTTAAAAATAATTTTCTTCAGTTATTTTTCAAGTACAGTTTTCTGTCTATTTCTCCCATCCCAGCCGTCCCCGCCCCATGCTCCCCACCTCCCTCCCATTTCCACCCCCCTTAGTTCTCGTCCCTGTGTCCTTCCTATTCATTCCTCCAAATCCCTCCCCTTTTTCCCCCTTAAATTCCCTTCCCTCTGCCCTCTGGTCACTGTCCTCTTGTTCTCTATTTCACTGTATTTGTTTTTTTTCTGCTTGCTTGTTTGCTTTGTTGTTTAGTTTCCTGTTAAAGGTGAGATCATATGGTATTTGTCTTTCAACACCTGGCCTATTTCACTCAGCATAATGCTTTCCAGTTCCATCCATGTTGCTGCAAAGGGTAGTAGCTCCTTCTTTCTCCCTGCTGCATAGAATTCCATTGTGTATATGTACCACAATTTTTTGATCCATTCACTTACTAGGTTGCTTCCAACTCTTGGCTATTGTACATTGTGCTGCTATGAACATTGTGGTGCATAGGTTCTTTGAAATTGATGTTTTAGGATTCTTAGGATATAATTCTAGCAGTGGAATTGCTGGGTCAAAAGGCAGGTCGATTTTTATTTTTCTGAGAAAATTCCATATGGTTGTACCAGTCTGCAGTCCCACCAACAGTGAACTAAGGACCCCTTTTCCCCACAACCTCTCCAACATTTGTCGTCTGTTGCTTTTTTTATGATAGCCATCCTGACTGGTGTAAACTGGTATCTCACTGTGGTTTTAATTTGCATCTCTCTGATAGCTAACGATATTGAGCATCTCTTCATGTGTCTCTGGATGTTCTATATGTCCTCCTTGGAGAAATGTCTGTTCAAGTCCTTTTCCCATTTTTAAATTGGGTTAGATGTCTTCTTAGAGTGGAGTCATGTAAGTTCTTTGTATATTTTGGAGATTAAACCTTTGTCTGAGGTATCATTGGCAAATATGTTTTCCCATACAGTTGGTTGTCTTTTTAATTTAATACTGTTTTCTTTAGCCACGCAGAAGCTTTTTATTTTGATGAGATCCCATTTGTTTATTCTTTCTTTTATATTCCTTGCTCTAGGGCAAGGAATCAGTAAAAATGTTGCTGCGTGAAATATCTGAGATTTTCTTGCCAATGTTCTCCTCTAGGACTTTCATGGTGTCACAGCTTATATTTAAGCCTTTTGTCCACCTTGAATTTATGTTTGAAAATGGCTACCATTCATCCTCATCACTGACTGATAGTTTGGCCAGTGTTGCACACCCAAGGTATGTGTACTCCAGAAATTCATATGTTGAAAACTAAGTCCCAATGTGATGGTATTTGGAGGTGGGGCCCTTGGGAGGTGATTGGGTCATGAGGGTTAAGCGCTGATGAATGGGACTAATTCCCTTGTAAAAGAGGCACCAGGGAAGAACTTTGCTTCTTTCTTCATGTAGGCACAGCGACAAGACAGATCTCCATGAACCAGGGAGTAGTTCATCATCAGATACTGAATGTACCCGCAGTTTGATCTCAGAGTTCCCAGCACGTAGAACTGTAAGAAATAAGTTTCTGTTGTTATAAGGCACTCAGTCTGTGGTATTCTGTTATAGTAGCCTGAATGAACTAAGACAACTGGGTACAGACTTCTAGGTTGGAAATAACATTCACTTAGAAGATTGAAGACATTAATCCACTCTCTTCTAGCTTCTGTGCTGCTAAAATCTGGAGTTCTTATTGTTCTTGATTCTTTGCATAGGATCTTTTCTTCTCTGGAAGATCATAGAAAGTTTTCTTTGTCTCTAATGTTCTAATAGTGCATGGTCGTGCGTCTATTTTAATCCACTGTATAGAAAATTTACAGAACTTTTAATCTGGGTATTTATGTTCTTCAGTTATTGAAAACCTCAAATTAGGTATTTGATTTCCACCTTTCATTTTTTAATATTCTCTTTCTGGAGTCCATATTATTTGGATGGCGGCATTCTTGCACTAGTTCTTTAACTTTTACTATCTATTTTTTTCTTCTATTTTCCTCTAATTCTCTATGTTCTGATTTCAAGAAAATTTTCTGAAGATTTTAACTCTTCTTTGCTTTTTAAATATCTACCGTCATTTACAATTTCTGGGAAATCATTCTTGGTGGTTTTTCTTGGATTTATTTTTTGCTTTTTTATTTTTAATAAGATGCTATTTTAAAATTTTAAGGATACAATTTCTTTTATCTTTAAAACAATTTTTAAATTGATTATGCCATTACATTTGTTCTATTCCCCCGTTCCCCTCCAGCCTGCACACCCCTCCCCCACCATTCCCCCCACTTTAGTTCATGAACACATGTCTCGAGTTCTTTAGATTCTGTATTTTCCCTACTATTCTTACCCTTCCCCCTATCTGTTTTCTATCTACTGTCTATGCTACTTATTTTCTGTACCTTCTCCCCCTTCTTCTCCCACTCCCCTGTTGCTAACCCTCCATGTGATCTTCATTTCTATGGTTCACTCCTGATCTTAGTTTGCTTTTGTTTTAGGTATGGTTGTTAATAACTCTGAGTTTGCTGTCCTTTCACTGTTCGTCTTTTTTATCTTCTTTTTCTGAGGTAAGTCCCTTTAACATTTCATATAATAAGGGCTTGGTGATGATGAACTCCTTGAATTTGATCTTATCTGAGAAGCACTTTTATCTGTCCTTCCATTCTAAATGAAAGCTTTGCTGGATAGGGCAATCTTGGTTATATGTAGGTCTTTGGATTTCATGACTTGGAATACCTCTTTCCAGCCCCTTCTTGCCTGTAAGGTCTCTTTTGAGAAATTCACTGACAGTCTGATGGGAACTCCTTTGTAGTTGACAGTCCCCTTATCTCTTGCTGCTTCTAGGATTCTCTCCTTCATTTTAATCTTGGCTAATGTAATGATGATGTGCCTTGGTGTGTTCCTTTTTGGGTTCAACTTCTTTGGGACTCTCTGAGCTTCCTGGATTTCCTGGAAGTCTATTTCCTTTGACAGAATGGGGAAGTTCTCTTTTATTATTTGTTCAAATAAGGTTTCCACTCATGACTGTTCCTCTTCCCCTTCTGGTACCCCTATAATTCAAATGTTGGAACGTTTAAAGTTGTCCTGGGGGTTCCTAGGCCTCTCCTCATTTTTTTGAATTCTTGTTTCTTCATTCTTTTCTGTTTGGTCATTTTTTCCTTCCTTCTGGTCTACTTCCTTGATTTGAGCCCCAGTTTCCTTTCCATTACTATTGGTTTCCTGTGCATTTCCATTCATTTCAATTAGTTTAGCCTTCATATGTTCCTCTAATTTGTGACTAAAATCAACCATTTCTGTGAGCATCCTGATCACCAGTGTTTTGAACTGTGCATCTGAATTTGGCTATTTCTTCATCACTTAGATTTATGGGCTCTGGGGCTCTGAGTTGTTCTTGAGCCATGTTTTTATCTGTTTGTGCCTGTTACGTATGAGGAGCGGAGCCTTAGTTGTTTACCAGGGTGGGGCCACCCAGGCCGCAGGTTTGTTATGCTGTATGTGGGGGCGGGGTCAGAGAGGGAGCAATGGCAATCCTCTCTGCTCACCCAGTCCGTCCCACCACTTACCCCGCCTGTTTATCTGAGCA